TAAACTGCCAAAATTGAAATAAGGAATCTGATATCAGCAGTAAGGAGTGATCAAGTGAAGTAGTTTTACATTTACGGACTTATCTGATGCTAACAGGTAGTGATGGGGTCACTTTTAAGCAAAGAGACAGCTGATCAAATGCAACATAGTCAACATTTTTATGATCTAGATTACAATTTCTTTAGATGTTCCTGAATATTAAGGTTAAACTTGCTGTCATAAAAATCTATTATTATTGCAAACGCATACCAGGTGTAAATAAAAGTTGCTTTCATAAATGACTTTGTTAAAACATTTTCTCAAAACAGTCACTGTAAATTTAAATGGAGTTGTAAAATAACTGAAGTTTTGGAGGAGGACTCTGTCTGCGGTGCTGTTGACATGGCTGGCTGAACCAACCTTTTTGACTCATTTCCTTATCCTTTGATTTTATGGTAGAATATTATGGTAGAACTTTTCTTTTATCTCTACTGGGAAATGTTCTGATCAGTGTCAGTCATATCCTTGCTCATTTGCAGAATGACTAATTCAACATTGCTCCTTGATCTACTTTTGTATTTGTCTATTTAAATAGATCAGGGCTGCCCCAAGTTGGCCTGTGAGGAACATTTGATTGATTTGACCCATCAGAAAGTTTTCCTAACCGCACTCCCTCAAACATTTTTATCCTGTATGCAACTTTATTAATGATTATTTTCCCTTTAAAATTGTATTATTTTAAAATATTTCAGCAGCATATTATAGTTTAATGTTGAAAAACACATTTTTAACTCGATTTGAAATCTACCTTCCTTGTTTGTATATTATTCTGTTTTTTTGGCCCTTGGCCTGCCACAAACATTGCCCTTTGGCTTTCTAAGACATCCTCCTCATCTTAGTGTAGCTGTGGCTCTTATAGATAGGTTACAGTTACTTGGACTGTTTCTGGGTACTTGATTTAAAACAGAAACAGTAGTAAAAAAAGGTATTTGGGTAGTAGTAGCATATTGGCCTATATTGTTTCACCATACAAAATGATGTAATAAATAGATCTTTGTTTACATGTGCAGCTTCATATTTTGAAATTTTGTTAACGTCTCTTCAGTGATGATTTTATTGATGACGTATTTATTTTAATACAGTACAGAAATAAATATTATATTTCTCTGTAATTGGATTTAGTCCTAGTTTCTACATTTCATAAATGTTAATGTATCAACATTGGCAGATATGTATGTGAAAGATATCAGCATTGGCCCAGAATTCCCATATCAGTGTATACTTACAAATTACTTAGCAAAGGGTGCATTTTAGTTTAGGCTTGGAACAAGTATTTAATGTGTAATTTGTCTTTCAGTTAAGCAAATTGTCCTATTTCACCAATACCTACCTTATGTCCTCATTATCCTTATGGTCTTGGTCCCAGGAAGTCATTGCTTGCAGCTGTATTCAGTGCTTGATTTTTTAAATCAGCTTTTGCCCAGACAGATCAATATATGTAATCTTTCTATTCAAAATGTAATAGTTTGCCTGTTCACTTACATGCTATGGGTTCTCATTTTTAGACTCATTGTCTTGTTTTAGACTTAGGCTTAGGCTTAGGCTGAGTATAATAACCTCTTTTGTTCTTAATATTATTTATATCTGAGTAACAAATATTTTTTGCTCGGATTAACATTGGTGAATGAGCAAACAGAGGAGCAATGGATGAGAAAGAGAAGAGAAAGAGAAGGAGGAAACACTAAGTACAACGTTCTTGTCAAAGAGTGGTGAACAGCAGCTCGGTGGGGAAAAGCCCTCAACACCACAGACATTTAGAGTTTTGAAGGGTCCAGAGCCTTTTGTAACCTCTAATATCTTGACCTAAAAGTGTCCAAAATAAAGAATCGTTGAATCCTCATAGTCATATGGTTATGGCAAAAATATTGGCACCCTTAACTTACAGTTCTCTATTAAATAATTGAATTTAAGGAACAGTTTAGCAAAATAATCAAATGTACATGATTTTTTGCTTACCCCAAATGCAATCAATCAGCAAAGACATGTTTGGTACCCAAGTTGTTTTTTTAGAACTGGAGCTTCTAGGCTAATGATGCTAACAAACACTGAAAGTAAATAGACACCAAAAGTGCTTTCTCAAATGCATCCCACAATCTTTATATGCCTGCTTCAGATTACTTCGATATGCAACATAAACTGATTTAGTAAAACAGCATGGACAGACCTTATGTACACATTTAAGCTAAAATTCAAACGTCTCACTTTCTGGTACTATTCTGCCTTCAAACTCTGGGAGGCTGGTGCACAGGGGCGTGTTGTATAGTGCTACTGTGCAGGTACATAGCATTAGCAGAATTTGTAGAGAGGAGAATTACCACTCTGTAATGTCTTTCGCGTTTCTCAAATGCTAGAGGGCGCTCCCGAGTGAGTCCAAAATGAATGGATTTAGATGGAGCATTTGAGCAAAATCATAGTTTATAAACGCTTAAACTTTTTTAATGTAAAAGAATACATTCATATCCTGAACAGTGAATAGCATAAAACATATTAACACCGCTGTTATTTTTTAAGAGCTTTTGAACTCGAGTTATAGGAGTTTAAAATGGCACATCATGTACATCCATGATGTCTGTGAGCACGAATAGCCAATGAGCTGCTTTGTTCACCAACCAATCAGCACTCACTAGCAGTAATGTTAGTGTCCTGCTTCCCAAAACTTGTTTGTTGTAGAAAAGAGGAAACATACAGGTAAGTTTTCTTTGCTTTTTTAGTGAAATACATTCTTCTACTTTATAAAACTAAAGGAAGATTCTGGGCAAGTGATTAGAAACTATTTTAACTTTTCATTTTAAGCCCTTGAGCTCCATTTACTCTCATTCATTAAGGACTCACTCACAGGTGCCCTCTGGTGTTTTGCAGTCATGTTTCTGACATAACGAGGGAAATAGGAAGTGGCCAGGCTGCTCATAAACCAGCTCAGGCATTATTACAGTAATTTCTGAGGCTTTCTTCCTGTAGGAGAGGTAGAAGTTGCATACTGAATAACAATAAACCCACAAAAATTCCACGTGGGAGGATATGCTGTGCTCACACAATCACAACAATTCTGTATTTATACAGAAATGTGTAGAATTAAACAAAGCTTACAGTTTTCTCTGTCAAATGTGAAAATATGTGCAACACATTAGCATTAGCTCCCTAATGAGCTTATAAAAATAGCAAGTGACACATCAACAGTGTCCTAGTATAAATTCTCTGTCTGTCTGTCTGTCTGCCTGTCTGCCTGTCTGCCTGTCTATCTATCTATCTATCTATCTATCTATCTATCTATCTATCTATCTATCTATCTACCTAGCTAGAAACTAATATATTCATTATTTATATTATGACATTGAACATAGAGAAAAAGAAAAACAAATCAGCCTATCATTGGATAGAACTATTTAGATTAACAAATGATAACCTATGACTGCTGTTCGAGGCCTATTAGAGTAGCAACGAGAAATAGATGAAAATGAAAATCAAGTCACTGTTACCAGTGAAAACCAGTGACTACTGTTAGGGGCGAATCACAGTGAAAAATCCTGAATGTCAGTGACTGTTAGGAGCCTACAGTGAAGATCTGTTATGATGAAAATGAGAAAATCTCAGAATATTGTGAGCCAGGGGAAGCAATGTCTATGATTAAATAGTTTTAATTTGAGTCTGTGCAGGAAGCAGTGTCAATGTCTATCTGTCTGTCTGTCTATTTATCTATCTATCTATCTATCTGTCTTAACTACCTGAGCTTCAAAAGACTTCAAAAGCTGCTACATGCAGCCAAGTCATCATAAATCAATATTTATACAAGGGGTGAGAAGGAATTGACACACATTAATATTCATTAGATGGACCATTAAACTGAAGGTGTGTGGGAACGTCATGAGTTCATGTTTTATGATTTTCAGGAAGTGGATTAGACCAGAAGTGCCCCTGCTGTTTTCTCAATCACTGCCTGACTTCCACAGCCAATCTTTTACTGTACTTTAACCACCTTACCCAGCCAACAAATGAGAAAATATAGAGTTGTTAAAAAAAAAAAGTAAACGAGAATAGAAATCAAATTTGAAATAAAACTTCCGGGTCCGTGTACCTTCTGTTCTTTTGATTTTCATTTTAAAAACCAATATTGAAAAACGGCAAATGGGTTGATTCTCGTTTCTGATTCTGGTATAGTCAGTGGAAAAATCACAAAATAGCTTCATTTTACAATTTCACAAACTGATCACAAAATCATATAATAAACGTGCAAAGCTCAGTTATCTCAGAAACTACAGAAATCAGGCCTGTGGTTCTGGTGTATTGGCAGGCTATATTACTTTTGTATAAGCGTTTGTATATTTGACCTGTACAAACTGTATAAGAAAGAAACGGTATAGGGAAGAAACTGAACTCCCACTATTCTGGGGAACAGGAAGCCCCCGTCAAATGGTGGGAGTTCAGTTTCTTCCCTATATCGTTTCTTTTTTATATAGTTTGTACACGTCAAATATACACACGCTCATGCAAAAAGTAATATAGCCGACCAATAAACCAGAACCACAGGGCTGATTTCTGTGGTTTCTGAGCTTCAATACCTGCGCTCTTGCCCCTTCATTTCCGCTTATGATGGGAAATTTTAAATTTGGATCATTAGAATAACACCCTTTATTCCATTGCTGTTTGGTTGTTATTTGATTTTATGACTAGTTTGTGAAATTGTAAAATACTGTGATTCGTGATTTTTCCACTGACAAGAACCAGAAATGAGAATTGACCCATTTGACGTTTTTCAATACTGAAACGTAATCTTTTTACAGTTTTCACTTTTGCAAAAATTGTGTTTTATGCAGTATTCCTACAATCCAGTCAAATCTATGAATTATTTCAAGCTACACCATGACATCAAAATGCCTTCACAACTGAAAACCCAGTTTGGAGATCTTTTAGACCCTTTATTTCCACAAAAAGCTTCCTTTAATAGACATTGAAGAGATATAAACTGAGGTATACAGTTTGTTTATTTGCAAGTCAAGATGAAATATCAACACAAGATGAAATAATGAAGACATATTAAAACTTGAGTATATTTCACATCATAAAGAAAGCAGGTGAAAGGGAGTCCCTGAAGAATATGCACCCAAAATACAGATTTTTACTTTTTTGAATAACAGAAAATTGTCAATACGCCAGTCAAAGAAAATGACCACGCTTTATGGTTACATAAAACAGTGCAAAACAATAACAATCCTTAACAAAAATTCACAATTGTACCAGAATCAGCAAACAGTGCTATATGTTGAGGTGACTGATGATAAACAGTATCTGTGAGGCATGATCAGTGCACAGGGAGAAAGGAGTCTGTATGTCAGTTTAACCCTTAGAAGTCTGGAGTTATTGTTGTATATACTTGCTGTATATTCAATTTACATCGCATAATTATTTAAATATAATTATGCAATTATAGGGGTAATTATGTAATTAGATCTGTGTCAACAGATGCTTGTCTGTCTTCCTGATTTTTTTTTGTTGTTTTAGTGCCAAAAAGTGGCAAAAACTTGGCAGAAATGTAAAGGATAGTAAAATTTCTCTTCTACATACAAACACAAATGTACAGATTTAAAGTTTAGAATTAACACTTATGATAGAATTTCTACACAAGTGCAAAATAATTAAAGGGCCCATTTTTTCTGTATTTATTCCTGAATTCTACGTATTACATTTGGTTTTATGTTAAAAAATATGGTCATAATTTATTTCTATATGACCATTTTCCAACCTCTGTTTATCCCTTAGAATTAAACAGGCTGTGCTTTCAAAACTGATATATGTAAATGATCTGATTGCTTCTTGGTGATTGTGGATGGTAAAGTGAACAGTACATTTTGAAACTTTAACAATATCTACATATCCTATTATAATCTTTTATTTAGAAGCGAGGACAACTGGATTTGTCTTCCATGCTTTGGACCCTTTAGAATAAAATAACAACATTCTTTTGTTATCGCCAACGATAGCTGTGACTTCTAAGGGTTAAAAAAGAGACTCTTTTCAGGATGTGAAGAGCAGATGTCCAGTGAAGTAGCTATTAGCAGAGAGGCCATTGCTGCCCAAACTGGCTTCCAGTCTTATACGGTCCCCTTGGTTTAACCGCAGGACTGTCTGCCCACTGTACATCAGTCTGCCAGGACTTTGCTGAGACGCCACGCTGCTCAGAACCACAGCATTGTTGCGCCGCAGTGTCACGGTGCCCACATTTCGGGAGGATGTTAGGAAGAAGACAAACTCATATACACCAGCCACGCTGCAGGTGAACTCGCCTGTCTGATTGCTGTAGTCGTTCAGATCGTTATAGATGGTGCTGCGGAAAGTGATAAGTCTGACTGGGATGGGAGAGGAGGAGGAATCGCCGAGCTGCACAGAGAAAGCAGAACGTGGTGTTGTGATGTTAGCAGCAGGGCCAGGGGGTCCAGGTGGTCCTCTTATCCCTGGTGCCCCTGGGGGACCTGAAAATCAAGAGAGTGATAATTGGGATATGGAATAAAAGTCCACAATGAGAAAATGTATTTTACAAACACACTAGAGCACTAGAATACTAGAACTAGCATTGGACAACAGTATTAAAAACTCTTTACGTATGCATGTAGTGGTGTTGTTAGAATGCTGCATTTATTTTTGAGCATCGTGAGAGAGACATGCATTCAAAAAAGCCAAAGGTCTCAGAGTACGAATGTGATTCTGATTAAGCACATTACCCTGTTCTCCAGCAGGTCCCCTAGGTCCTGGAGGTCCTAGTACTGGCTCTGCGTCAGGATCTGCAAATGGTTAAAACAAATTAGCTTAATTTAAGTCTGACACATAAAAGAAAACAACGGCAAAAAAGTGGGCTTATGTTAATTAGAGAACCCTCAACCCAAGCAAACAGAAGGAAGGAAGATAACATACTGCAAAGGCCTAGTGCAGTTCATAAACTGTGTCTTAGCCAGAGTTGGGCAGAATACTTTGAAAAGTGGTGATGGCTGAATACAATACACTGTCCTAAATGTACATAAAAAGTAACATTTTCAGAATATAATTAGGACACATTCAGAATACTCTATCTCAATAAAGCAGATGGGAAAAACTGTTGTATTTGTTATTTATTGCACACTGTTTGTCTCTGTTACTGGTTGGCAGTTTTCTTCATGTAGTTCTTCTGTTTCATGAAAAATTCACTTATTTAAATGAATTTACAAAATTCTCAACTTTTTCACTCTATGAAGCGCAAACAACTGCCATATCTCAGTAACAGAATCTTTCAAACTGGACCATAAAGTGGGTAGCTGTGATTTTCAGTCAGTGAGATGTCTTTATACAAAATGCCTGCATGAGTCCAGTACAACACCAGTACTAAGCTTCTTGATGGTGAAGATGTCCACTGCTTAGGAGACTATTCAGTTCCATCATCCCTCAAAAGAGTTTACTAACACTGAGATTATTTACTGATCATCACATAGATTATCAGTCTACTTGGGCTTTAGCAGAAACTTCAGTGTTTGTAAAGAGTTCTGTCATTACACACCATGCTCTGATTTTAAAATACTGTAAGTCCTAAAAAAGTATTTGTTATGTTTCTTTTAGAGATGATAAATACTTCTAAAATTTACTGGTTAAGTATTCTAAACATATTCTGAATATTGCCTTTACAAAATGTAACTTAAACTGAATACAGATAATTAATTTCTGTATTCTGAATACTTATTCCCAATTCTCGTATTCCATTACACACCAACTCTGGTCTTAGCACATCACAATTTAACCAATTTGTTGCTGCACAAGGCCTCTGTATGAAGAGCACATGCCAGGAAAGAGTTCCCAGACCAATCCCAGTGTAATAAATTCATTCACTTCATAAGTGTTCATAAGAAATAATAGTTGGCTAACCTCATCTCCACTGTGTAAACTGTAGCTCTCAGGCTCTCCTAGAAGGTCAAATACCAAAAGTAAGCCAACACCACTACACAGATTATACAGCCTGTATTTTAAAAGTCCTTGAACAGTACCCCATGCATATTGTGCATACCAGTATGCCACAAGCAGAGTAATGAGGAATTAAGTCAGAAATGTTTAGTAAGCTGGTATGAATGTGATTATTTGTTTAACAGGCCTATAATTTCAGTGTCCTGAAAAATTTATAAAAAAAACAAGTAAACACAATCAAAACTCCATATAGTGGAAAGGGTTATAATTAGTCTTTCAGGGTTGTAGTACAGCGCTGTGAACATTTTTGCTTTCCTTGCCTCAAACAGTAAGAAGGCCACAGCAATCCAGCTGGAAATCAGTGAAAGCAACACTGGCTGTTCATGGTTAGTACTTAGATTACACAGTAATGCTAGCCAAACAAGGGTGTATAGTAGCCCCCTTATACAAGACGAGCAATCAGCACTTTTCTCCAAGAGAATAGCTGTGAAATGACCTTAAAGCAGGTAAAAAATATGCTAAAGACTGGATAATTGTAAGCAAGGATTTATCCTCATTAGTTGGTAGCCATCATGTGTTCTGGAGATAAGGATGAGAACTAACAGTGGGACTCCACTAAAAGCATCAGTATTAAAAAATGCAATCTGTTAAACAAATATTCACATTTAAATGACCAGAAGAGAAAAAGCATTTTTTTTCTGTGGACTGCACAAGTACAAAGAATCTGATTTGCTCTTTTGCCTTACCAGCCTCAATCCAGGGAGTGAGGTCTAGATCCACAATTTCGTTGCAATCAATGAAGTCAGATCTGTTGGTTAAGCGGAAGGGGTCACCAGGAACTCTTCTGATGCCTGTGTTGTCACAGATGATGCGGGCCAGAGACACAGAAGCTAGCGAGGCTCTCTGCCTCTTGGTGAAAACCCCTTGATTCTCCCACCAGAGCCTGGATGGAGAGAGACCAATATTACCACCATACACACCTACATTTACTCTTTTTATTTGGTGATATTTTTGTCTCACACACACACACACACACACATACAATACCTGTCGCCTTCACGGATCTTCTGGAACTGGGTTGCAATGAGACAGGAGAAGAGAGGTCCGACTCGGCCTCCAGGAACAAAAGGTTCAGCTACACCCGCCACCCAGACATCAATGTTGGCAGGATTTCCGTAGAGTGTAATCAGTCTGCGTGCTAAGTCAGTGTTGTTCAGCACCACGGCCAGCTCAGCTTCATTGCGAGGTGTGGAGAGGTTGCAGAACCTCCGCCATGCAGTATAACCTAACAGAGAAAAGAGGACAACATGAGCTTTGTATCCACCTTTATGAATAAGGTTGTGATTATTGTTTTCAGAATGAGTCTTTGTGTGTGATAACATTGCTGTGAAAGAAGTGCTAAATTGTTAACATCGGGTTACAAGAAAGATATGAAGTTTGGCCTTTTGGGCTATGTGTAGTGGCTCTTATCTAATCACCATGCATTCAGCCAACACTGATTAAATGGCAAAATTCACACTGTTCCTCGCTGTTACTGGTTGGCAGTTTTCTTCGTATAATTCTTTTAGCATGTTTTAGTTCATATTTACGTATTTAAATTAAGCTATAAAAATTCTCAACATTATTTTGGCTCTTCAGTCTGGTTGCCTGCTTCAAATAAAAAAAGTTACATTTTATACGTATTGCAATGGAATATGTTACTGAATACATTTAGAACAGCGTACTAACCATTCAGGCTTTACTACTTGTTCAAAGTATGCTGCCCAACCCTGTGTGCATGCGTGTACCTGGCAGGGCATGGTCACGGCTCCTCTGCATGTTGAGCGATGCCAGGTCCATAGCAATGTGACTGGTGAAAGCAAACAGCCTCTCTCTCACTGCATCCACCAGTATGTGGTCCTGTTGATTCAGCTTAGCCGGTCGGCTAATCAAGCCACGGATGAGAGGATCAATTCCACCTGGATGTGAGGAATCAGATGAGAATCAGATAACTTCAGTTGTGAAGAGTCAAATCATTGCATAATTTTGATCACCTTGCTCTACTTCATCCCCACTGTTCAGCTACCAAATCCTTGAGTCAAATCAGGCACGTTGTGAAGAAAAACAGAGAACAACAGTACAGCCCTCCAGGAATGGACTTACAGACAGTACATACACAAATGCAATGGTTCCAAAAGTCAGTCCTGGAGGCCTCATGTTCTGCACATTTTTGTTCTGCCTACTCTGATTCATTCATTATAAATAAGCCAACGAACCAAATCAGATAAAAAAAGCACATAAATAGAGTGAATAGTGAGGAGTTTGCAGGAATGAGAGTGGGAACTTAGTAGCTTAGCTTTTAGCTTGCATTTATTACTGTCACGTGAACTGACCTTCAAAGATGACTCTCCAGGGTGTGAAGAAGGAATGGAACAGAGGGACGCTGGGGAACTGAGGATGGTTCTGGAAATTTTCATCCAAACGGAAGACGAGGGGCTGTATAGTCGCGTGGGCGAAACGGAAGGCAGCGGTGGCAAAAACATTAGCAATGCTTGGGTCAACACTGGGGTCGTACCCAGGATAAGGCCCAAGCAGCCTTCTCATGGCATCTGGACCCACAATGTGTGGCAGGTAATCCCTGAAAACCACAATCTGTGGGGCAGAGAGGAAATTACAATCATTATTCCTGTTCATTATGTAAATCAGAAATGAGTCAGGACCACAGAAATAAAATTTTCTAGAATTTAAAAAAAAATTAGAAGCATGATCAATGTAGATTTGACTCAGTTGGAGGAGAGTGTGTGTGTGTGTGCATGCATGTAAGTGTGCAGTACCTGGTGATAGGCACCAACAATTTTGCGAGCCTCCTGGTAAAGTGTTTCGCTGCTCCAGCGGGGGTTGAGTAGGCGCAGGGCACGGGCCAGCCGGTTGTGTTCTCTCAGAAACAGCGTGTGTATTGAAGTTAGCGCAATGTTCTCATCCACACGAGCATCACCTGCGGTCAGGAAGAGGCACGTTTTTTTGCTTAGTTATTTTTTTAGAAATCTGCAGGTTCACTGATTCTATAATGAGTCATTTTTAATCTTGCCCTTTTTTCAAAAATTTCATCTGATATTTCTTTGGTAAAAATTTACCTGAACTGAATTATGCGAAAAGTGCTGTATAAACAGACACAGATCCTATTTTCTTAAAGCCATTGAAAAGAGAATGATTTTATTTGGAGTAGCATTATTTATGCCTAATAGAGAGGAAGAACAAAACTGACCTGCTATGAAACATGGAACTTCCTCGAGGCCTGTTGTGTTGAGGATGCGGTTACGGGTTTTGCACATGTTGCTGACCACTTTAGTGAAGGGCAGCAACTCTCGACCATTGTCTTGGAAACGGTCATTGACCAGCAAAAGGCCGTTGTCGTTGGAGAGGTCACGGAGTTCTCGCGCAAGCCCCTCATCAGAGCCGTACATCTGGCCTACATCTAGGAATGCTGTCAGGGAGTTGATCTGCTGCCTTACTTTGGGGACACCACCGAAAATGAAGGCATTGTTACCAGAACCACAGGCAGGTGCAGAACGGAACACGGGGAGGCAGGTGTTTGGAGCAGGTTGACGTATGTCTCCAGGAGGAAACTAAGCAAAATGATGAATATAGTTAACTTGCATTGCTGTAAGTAATGTCCCTAAATGCTGTGCAGTGAAGCACTGAGTTTAAATGCATTTCATACAAAAATGTTTCTAATATGGCTAATAAACATGACTGTCACCAACAATTGCATTTTTGAGTGACGCATTTCTTTTACAGGAGAGCTTTATTGTGGATCTTAGCAGAAAAAAATACATGAGTGTGCAAACAGAGCAGGAACTAGTGTTTCTTCCTGTGGACTAACCTGAATGGGGAAGCAGGGCTCGGTGCGCTCACAGCTCTCATCACAGTTGATGCCGCTGCTGAAAGATCGGATGCTGGGTGACTGTGGAGTGAAGGACAGGTCGTGGTCATTCCACTGGCCAAAGAAGGTGATCAGGTACGTGAGCTCACTGTCGCCCTGAACGTTGGCATCTGCTGTGCTCACGATGCGGTTAGACACCAGCCTCACCTGGAAGAGCAGGCATGGAAAAGAGATCTCGTTTGAGCTTGGACTCACCTGGCTGTCAACATAAAACTCATTGGAATGAAAGACTGCTGTCTTACCAGAGGTAGCAGGACCCCATTATAGAGTCTGCTTGGGTCCCAGCCTACAGGCTGGGAGATACCATCTTCATAAATAGGAGGGAGCCAGCGAGTGTGTGGTGTGTTTGCTGCACCAAGAAGTGGATTCCTCCTAAAGATCCAGAACAACACTGTTAGCTATTCTACGCTTGAGAGAAACTGTCATCTACGGTCTTCATCCTGAAGCTAATTTGCTCAAGAATGGTGGCAGTATGTCATTAATTGGGAACAAATTACTATTTTCATCGTGTAAAAAAAGAACAACAATGGACACAATGGGCCGCATTCACCAACCATTTTTGAGAAGAAATTTCTACTTAAGACCCACTTGCACAATTTTTATTCACCAATGTTTTCCTATTTGGGAGAAATAAGAATCTATGCATTCAAGAGCACAAAGTTATGAACATCTCTGTGCTTTAAGAACACATCTGACCTAGACTTTTTCTTAGGACCTTTCTTAAGAATGCATTTAAGAAAAAACTTAGGAAGATATAAATGAATGAGGCCCAGTGTTTACTTGCTGTCCGTGGTATACATGCAACCACACTGGTAACATGAAAGAGGAATCTCTTGCATGATTATGCCTTGGCAACACACTGAGATATTCAGAGGAATGTCTCTAGGACTTTTGAAAAACAGCAAAAAAGGTTACTGATAAAATGTTTGATCAAAATGACACTATTTGTGATTACACCCATGATTTTAGATTCATAGGAAATTCTCCTGATGAGTGCAGTACCACCCTGTTTCTGGTTGGGGCAGGTTAGAGCGGTGCTCACCGGTTGTTGCAGACGCTGTTGGCGGTGCGGTACTTGTTGATGAGGGGTGTGGTCCTGCAGGAAGGGGGCCGGACTTGAGCTGCACAGCCAGTCAGGCGTATGATAGTCTGCAGCTCTTCAGGAGTAATCAGCGCTGAGAGAGAGAACAGACAGCTTTAATGGACGGATTTTAATAGGTATTTGGTTCAAATTTGTTTCATTATTTTTTCTGGTATGATAACAGAGGGAAATCAGTCCGAAGTAAGGCAAATGATGAAATGAGGTTTGAGGATGTTCAGCAGCAGTGTCTCTGTATGTTCATTTCTGTGTGTATGTGTGAGAGAAAGTGTGTATGTCAGACCTGTAGCATTAATGGATCTCTTGTGTGCGTGGTGTGTTTTCTCAGTGATAATTCTCAGGGTCTGCTGAAGGTAGTCTGCAGCTCTCACAGCATCTCTTGTCTTTCGGGATGGCTGCTTCATCAGACGCAGCTTATCAGACGGCTTGATGAAAGTGTCCTTACGCACCCTCGCCAGACTCCTGTAAACATATGATATAAGATGAAATGTATTGCAATATGTTTTCAGCATATTCTAAAAAATGCAAATAGAATATATATAATATGTTCCGAAGTGTTTTCAGTTACATATTGCCGTACAATTTGCATAGACATTCATGGATGGGTATGATAAATATATGCTCCAGGTTAGAGAAATGTTGACTCACTCTTGACGAGAGTACAAGTAAGCATCATCTACGAGTCTTTTGGCCTCCTCAATGGCCTCCAGAATGAAAGGTCTCCCCAAGCCCTCCTGTACAGATCCTATACAAACAGATATTACGGTAGAGTCAAGGTCATGGACACATGTAGGAACAGAAACTCTTAATAAAGATGGTTTATTATATCTGTCCAGCTGTAAAATAAACCCAAATAAAAAATGCCATTAACTCTAGTAACTCTAGTTTTATAATGATTCTAGATTAGCTTTTAGTGGTGATTCTTCATTAAAACTCTCTTTAGTGTAAGAGTAGGTTTAATCTGAACCTGGAAAACCAACAAACCAAGTTCAACAACAACGTCACTAAAACAGCTTTCTTTTATAGAAGAAGTACAGGATGAGTTGGAGCCTCTTCACCTGCGAGATGTTAAAAAGCTGACCAATGCTTTTGTTTTTTATACTACACTACACTGTACTGTAAAAACACTGTAAACAATTGAGGTTAACTTAAAATAGTTACCAGACTGCCTTAAAATTCTGAATTATTTGAAACTTAGACAGAAGTCAGCTTGTTCACAATGTTGCAGCCAGAGTTCTATCATGTGCAATGTACAGAAAAAATTTCAGATGCGCTCTGGTTTTTAAAGCACCATAGCGGCATTTCAGAACACCTGAAATTCCAAATCACGTATTAACATCAACTGCTGGCTTACTAAATGTTCTAATGTGCAGAAATACTGATGAAGCTGTGCTGTTATTATGCACCAAGTAGTGGGAACTACCAAATAATACTTTCAAATGCCTATTATTCATTTATTTATTCATTTATTTATTTTATTATTGTAGATTTTTGTTAATTTTTTAACTCACCAGATACAGTCGGGTAGTTGAGCATATGGCACAAACCCAGTGCCACAATGGATATTAAGAGATTCATAGCTGAAACAGTAACAGAGGCACAGTCAGCTCATAGAAACATACTTTGCATTCTGTACTAATAGTTAGTTTTTTTCAAAAACTAACTATTGGTACTGTTAGTAAAATCTAACTATTAGTACTTTTAGTAAAAACTAATTATTAGTACTATTTGTAAAAACTAACTATTAATACTATTAGTAAAAACTAACTATTAGTACTATTAGTGATAATTAACTTTTTATCACATATGACACAATTTTACACTCCTTGAATTGAATTTTCTCTGATAAAAATAAATGTTTCAAATTTTTTTTTTCAATGTTTTTTTCTGAATATTATGATCATTTATATCTGAAGCAGAATAGATCTGATACACAATATCAGTAGAGAAGTATTTAGGCATCATTTCATGCAGCAAGGAGGCAGCTCTTCTTAATTAAGAGTCATTTTACAACACCAGAGGTACAATAAAGCATGAACAATTAAAATTTGAAAAAAAAAAGCAGAAGCCTCAGAGGCTTGTCATTTCTCACCCGCGTGTTTGACTCCTCTTCTCTTTAGATGAATTGGAGTGTTCAGTGTGCCATCCTGCTGTGCTGCAGGACTTTTATACACAGGCAGATGCCTCACCCTGTCTGCATCTCGGGCGTGGGAGGGCCTGGAGTTTTGGAGTAGTGCAGTTCCTGCTTCCTTTTACCCGCAAGAATGATGTAGGTCGAGTATTGAGTTTCATATTCTCTCTGCTCACACTGATGCTTTGTCAAAAATAAAAGCTATAAATAAGATGCAGTATTAGTGTTCTGTTGTTAGATTTCTGTAATACTCTGCTAATTACGGCATATTACGAAAAAGCATTTTATAATTCTTTTTTTTTTACGGTACTGACAGCTAGAGGCCAAGGTTGGAGCTGTTTAAAGTGTGATCGATTAACTCTCACAAAGGAAGCCAGGAATCCCCTCGCCTGAAGGAAAATCACTGCGTGCATTTCCTTTGTGTTATCCTCCTGGGAGTCAATGCATGTTCCCAGAATTTCATCTGTTGAACTTGTTGAACTTTCTCGGTATACTGAGGGTATTTTTTTAATCATTATTTCTAAAGACCTATTCAGAAATGCTTCTTTAACTTTTGCCTTTTTAGCTGTTATTTGTCATGAGTGTTCTTTGCCATGCATTCTACAGCTTCTGAAGCAGATAATGATGCACATAATTACCTAATAACCTACAATAAACAACAATGAGTGCACTTACTGCACATTTGATGTAATAACTAAACAGCATACATCTCATATCCATTACAGAAAAACCTCCATGTCCACCATTGCAATCTAACATCAAATTAAAGCCTAGTTTTTTTATGCATTCTGATCCTCTGAGCTGGCCTTGTGTTACGTGCACTCGTGCAGTTGCCTCATGCTGGCAGATGAATAGGATGAGGTAAGAACTTCCTTCATTTTTGTTGGGTGATTTTTGTCAATGTATTTCAACAAAACCCCAACCAGGAAATGGTTGTCAAGTGAGACAAGACACACAACTCCAAGTTAATAAATGTATTTTAAAAAAGATACTTCCGTAACATTATACTTACTCTTTAGTCACAGGACATTTATTGTTTGTAGTTTGCAAGTTTCCACATACTAGAGGTACACTATGTGTCCGAAAGTGTCCAGAGGCCTCTTTTTGTGAGTAAAGCCACTGTAATAGCTACTTAAACCTTAACATACAACAATTTATAACCAGAACATATAACAATTTGTAGAGATCTGTAGACAGATGGATAGAAAGGTAACAATAAAAACAATGGTAACGACAGCTGGCAAATTATCCAAAGATGATAAAAAGGCTACAAATGCTACTAATACTTCACAGATGAGGTCATTTAAAACTATCTGTCAAAAAATGCAAGCATCTAATGTGGCTAACAAGTGGAGTAAATGTTGCATGCAACTTACAACATGCAACCGTTTCAGTTGGATAAAAGTTTCAAAATGTAAAGCAAGTCTAAGGTCACTGTGTCCTTTGGAGAGCTTTGGAGTGGCCAAACTGTGTTCTCTGGATTAATACCCTTCATTTCAGAAGAAATGCTAGATTTGCAGGTGTCTGCTGTCTGGAAATGGTGTATTTCACTGAATCATGCTTCTTAGTTAAACAGTTATTATAATAAAAATTTAACGTGAATGTTTCTTAACTTTTCTACTGGATATTCTAACATTTTACCAAGAAATACCACTTCACGAAGGAGATGTTTAAACTGTGTTTATATGCTCTTTCTTATGGTTCCTCATGGTTTTCCATGAGGTACAGTGAGAAGCAAAATATTGAGACAATGGTGTAAAATGGGTTATTTTTGTTGTCCTTAGCCTTTTTGCTGGACAGTGTTTTTCATACAAAATAAGCCATAAGGAAATTCCTTTTTGTTTACTCCTTTAGTTTTGGTTGTGCATAAATGTTTACTTAAAGTGAAATGAAGTTGTTTGAAGTATTTGGTCCCAAACTTACACTCTCAGAAATAATGGTACAAAACTGTCACTGGGGCAGCCCCCCTCTTGTCACTGGGGTGGTACCCTCAAGGGTACATCTCAGTACCTTTAGTCAGGGACCATAATTATACCATAATCCATTGAAATTATATTTTCTAAGTTGTATTGGCTCCACACACCCTGTCTTATCTTTTTGCTTTATTGTTCTGTTTTAAAACATAAGGTTATAAAAAGGTACAGATATGTACTTTTCACCTGAAAAAACTTATTTAAGGTGTGCAATTGGACCTTAAAACCACTGTTGTACCTTTGAGGAAACATTTACATTGTTTGTACCTTGATGAACGAAAAATGTATCTGCACAGAATCTTTTCAACAGTGTATAACAAGCAATAACTGCCTCAAGTCTGCGTCCCACTGACATCAGCAGACGCTTGTCTCTGAGTATTCCTTCATTTGGAATGCTCTGACAAGCCTTTATGGCTTTCAGTTGGTACTTGTTTTGGGGCTGTTATGTCTTCAGCCCCCTCTTCAACAGATTTGAGTTCAGTTTAAATAAGGAGACTGGCTATAACTGTCCACCTTTTCTTTCAAGTGAATTCCTTGGTTAAGTGTGCAGTATATTTGGGTTATTGTCCCACTGCGTTGTGAATGTCCACCTAATGAGTTTTGGAGCCAAGATCTTTATGCACACTTCAGAAGCAATTTTGCTGCTACCATCACCAGCTACATCATCAATAAAGACTGGTGAGCCAGTTCCAAAGGCAGCCATGAATTCCTAAGACAAGACACTGTCCAAGGATGGATCATGGTCTCACAAGGCCCCCAGGCACACGCATGTTTGGGGGCCACCACGCTTTGACAAGAAATTACCTAACCTGACCTGGAAAATAACTTTAATAATCAGCCATGTAACATAATCAAAATGTGAAATAGCCTATTATTTCCTGTACAGCTATTTTTCTGCACACATTTGGTGATGCTGGGCTTTGTGAATATAGCGGCACAGTGACTACATTTCATTTATTTAGTAATTACACATTACATTATATTAATGGGCTATTCAATCATACAATTTTTGGATCTGCAGTGGCCTGTCCCCCGTCATTGAGCCAGCTCTAGACTTAATTCTGGACTTAACTCCCTTTGCAGTCAGTGGGCCCTGGGCACTGGCCCCACAGGCCCAGAGCGTAATCCATCCCTGACACTACCTCCGCCATTCTTCACAGGTGAAGTGGTGTGCTTAGGATTATTTGCAGCCTTCTCTTTCTCCACACTTTTCCCTTCCCATCACTTTGATAAATATTAATTGTTACTTCATCTGTCCATAAAACTTTGCTCCAGAACAATGTTCCTGTCACCAGCTAATGTGGTCTTTCAGACACAACCAGATAGTCACTGTCAGATAGTTTTCTTGCATCTCAAGTTGTTGCTTGCCTTATTTTTGGAATGCCTAGTTTTTGGGCAGCTTCTTTCAGCTGATTCTGATTGGCATTTGCTTTACCTCATGCTCAGGATTGCTTGCTTTTTTATCATGGTCAATTATCTAGTTTTAGATCTTGCTTTTTTCCAGGTGGTGACATTTCCGTGTGGTTGGAACAAGGAAATACCTTTATGAGTGTAAAGATGTGGGATATACTGTCACTGAGTGATTCACTGGTCGACGGTGGTAATGGCTAATCAGAAACTATATCAGGCAACACATTAGAACAGGTTTATCACTAAAATGTTGTTTTGAAGGAGAAGAGAAAGAAGTGGCATCCAGACTGTGGTTTAGTGAGTCTGAAAGATGATCTCTCACATGTCACATATATGCACACGAAATACCACAGAAACCACTTTGGCACATTTAGTTTCCTCACATAGTTTGATGATGTTTCATTTGTTGTTTTGTTTTTTGTTTTAGTTACAGGAGTGCTTTTTTTACTTTCTTATGGATCTTCAAAGGGTTCTTTTGTAAAGACAAGTTCTGTTTAGAATGATTAGCATTCAAAGAACCATTTGCATCTGCACCATTTTTGCATGGTGAAATGGTTCTTCAGATTGATGTAGAGTGCATTGTATATGGTCCAATATAGAACCAAAAAGGGTTCTTTTATTGTTGCAATTGTTACAAGCTTGACACTGCAACAATAGAAGAACTCTTTTTGGTGCTGTATAGATGTATTTTCAAACAGGTTCTATATAGAAGCATATACAACACATTCTCCATCAATCTGAAGAATTATTGCACCATGCAATGATTCTCTGAGCGTTGATGGTTTTTTTTTATAGAACCATTACCTTTCCTAAAGAACTATCTATCTTGAGCATATATATATGGTTTACTGGAGGCTCCTATGGTTTAAACCGTAGGAGCCTGTAGTCAATACAGAGGTAATACACTATCCACACATCTTGCCAACGGTATAAATGATACACTATCTACATTTTTTATGAATCTGAAGTTACATTTTAGGCCTACTGTGCTGAATCAGTCGGTCTTATTTTCAGGGAATAAAGAAGTAAAGTAACGTGAGGAGTTCCATGAAGGTCAGGGGTCAGGGGATACAGTAGCGCAGTGGAATTACAGCTGCTTGGCCAATTGTGTAGTGGTGATACATCATTAAAAGCACATATCAAGTCCATGTTCTGCAAAGAAAACGTGGGATAAAACGCTGTGTCTACCCTTTTCCCTCCAGTGAATGCTGCTCAGTAAGGTTACTGCTCTCTGCAGAGCAGGCAACTGTTTGCTACTGGTGATCAGCATCTGACTGTAGTTCTTTTATTTTATAATAAATAAACCATACTATAGCAAAAAAGTTCAGTTTCTTTTATTAACTGCTTAAATGGCCAGGGCCCCCAAAGTTTTATTACACACTTCTGTAATCTATGTATAGCTCAGGCAGTCTACAAGGGCTTCAATGCAAACTAATGGAGCTATTCTCAGGTTATAGAAGTATACTTTGGACCTGCTGGCAGGCCCATGGCTTTTTAAAGGGTTGAACAAAAATGCTTGAGCATGTTCCCTCAGTAAAGGTTGTTAAAAGGCTTCCTCTTTCTGTTTGGCCTTCATTTAGCTCAGGTCAGTTTTTACACCTGCAGTGTAAGGGAAAATGCCAGTTTACAGCTTTCATGGCATCTGAGCCTGTAACCACACTTCACATCTAATTTTTATCCAC